GGTGCCTGCATGTACCCTTCTGTGACTCAATTCACTTCGGTCTCAAAGGTGTCTATGATGCCCCCTCCCTTAAAAACGGTTAAAAACTCAGACCCATCAGGAGCAGCAGATGGAGTAAGGGTTGCATCGCTGCACTCCCACGTAGTTGACCGCAGTTCGAGTCCCGGAGCTGGCAGCTTAAACTCATGCCAGGCACAAAGTGCGTGTGTGCTCAAAATCCCAAGAGGAGAATAGAGAAGAGATTGCAAGGAGACTTGCTTTCTCACTCTCTCTGGTCAAACTGAATAACAATGATAAAAAAATAAAATTAAATAATTATTTTAAAAAACATGGAAAATACAAGAGGAAATAGGAAAACAGGCCACGCGTGGACCAAGGAGGGAGGAAGACTTACCTACTCATGCTTAGATTTGGAGCCCTGGGAACGGACTACCCTGAGACAAGCAGAATGGGACAGGTCACGCTCTAGCCCCTCTGCTTACCTGAGTGCTCGCTTCAGCCCATCCGTCACCGCCTCCTTCCTCGCCTTCTCCAAAGCTAAGGCCTTCGACTTGAGGCCCTCACTAACACCATAGCCCACATCCTCGTGATAGGAGCCGTCCTGGGGACAGACAAGGGGTTCAGACCAAGGTGTCCAGCTGCAAGCCTGCCCGGCCACACAGCTCTGCCCTCGCTCAAGCAGCGCTGCTGCGACGGGGCACACGAGCAGAGGCCTTGCTGCAGGGCACAGGCACGGCGGTGAGAGATCGGTCCCAGCACTGGCTCCTAGACCAGCTCTGCTGGGGAGCTGCCTTGCTGTGTCCAGCAGTTCTTCCTCCCAGCCGCTCTGACTCGCAAACGGGCACGTCTCTACCTCATCTCAGATCCTAGGAGTAAAAGCCTGAGGGGTCGCCAGCAGGGGGGGTGCTGGTGAAGGGCACTGGACTCTCACATGGCCGACCACAGTTCCAGTCCAGGACCCGGCTTTCTCACTTCCTCTCTTTCTTCTCTCTCTCTCTCTGTCCCTCTCTGGTCAAATCAAAATAAATAAATTAAGAAGTAATTTTTAAAAGTTAAATAAAATACGGACCATCAGTTGGCATAATGGCTATGTCGCTGGACTCCCATGTAGTCGACCGCGGTTCACGTCCCAGACCCAGTGGCTTAAACTCACGCTGGGCGCATGTGCATGCGTGCCCAAGATCCCGAGAGGAGAAAGGAGAAGGGATTGCGGTGTGGCCATCCCCCCTGGGGGTGATTTCTTGCTTTCTGTCTCTCTTTCTGGTGAACGCATACACCCTATTCCAGAAACCCTTTCCAAAAAAAAGAAAAAAAGTTAAATAAAATAAATCCCTTTAAAAAAAAATGCCTCTGGGATACCACACAAGAGGATATTCTAAAATACTGTACCTAATAAAATCTAGGATTGGACTGCAGGTCCCTCCATAAGTCAGGGGCACCATTTCTTGGCTTTTACCAAAAATAAAGCTGGACCTGATCAAACTGTTAGCTGACAGGGAATTTTTTATTTTTAAAGAATTATTTATTTAATTCCATTTGCTATTATATTTTTTTTAGTTTGATCAGAAAGAGATAGAAAAAGGGAAA